ACCACTGCGGCTAGGAATGCGCGCGCGACCTGAACGAGGGCTTCGTACCTTTACCGCCGCCGGACTGGATGATGAAGACATCCTTTCCTCGTACACTCTCCTCGATCTCGACACGCGTCTCACCACCCTTGAACTTGTCAAGAAGCACTTTGGCCTTGGGTATGCCGAGGTGGTTGCAGATGGTCCTACCGCCCAGTTAGTCACAGCCATGGCCCGCTTCTCGGCGCGTCGACTTACTCGGTGAGCTGCGGGTGGGAGCTGCCGCCCAGGACCACAATGTTCCTCATGTTGACGGCTGGTGGAGGTGGTGGGGTCGTGTGCTAACTTCGCGGCGGGCAGTATAGCAAGAGGAGATTAGTGAAGGAAGGAGGGCCCTCGCGGAGAAATTCCTCTTATCGATAATGGAAAAGATTTAGTTCCAAGTTACTTTAAGGTTCCGCCCTGGTAATGCTTGGGTGGAGCAGTCGCAGCTCAGGCAGCTCAGGAATTGGGCAGCATGGTGAAAGATGGATGTCTGTCGTCACGGGCCAGAGAGGTTTTCGCTTCCTTCGGCTGTTGCACTTTTTCTGCCGAGCCCATGTCGCCATCCAACGCACCTCAAAGCTTCTAGAGCGCGGCATGGCTGCAGTCTGCACGGCATACATACCATAGTGAGCACACCGGATGAATGACTCGGCCTGCACGCCAGCTACTTCCGCGTTGTTGCGCAGGAGAGCGCAGCTATGGCGCTTCACCTGCAGCGGCTGGCGGTCAGTAATCGCGCCATGCTCAGTGGTTGCAGTTCGCGTCAGTGGACCAAGGGAAGGGTCCGTTAGCGCCTGCCGAAGTCGCTCTCTCACGTGCCTTCCTACCTGGCCGTCTGGGGAAGGAAGGACACACCATCCCTTGGTCTTAACGTTACATTCCAGAAATCCTACATAAATCTAGTTCACCGGCTCATGGCAAGTCGTACAGTCCTGCAGTTATCACCGAATGCGGCATCTTGCGCCCTTGATGTGCCCTCGAACAGACAATGCGGATAAGCGTGCGGTATTATATTACATTAGAGGTTTTAGTCTAAGTGCCATAAAGCGGTTCGTCTACAAGGGGTATATGCTAGTCGTCGTTTCATCCATAATGTACTCTACTCATTCAACTTGGTTCTCGCTCTTCGATCTCTCGCACTCCTGCCTCCCCCCGCGGTGTGCCCAGCCACTCCACCCTGGGTCGATGCACTCCCTCGTCGACTCCCTGTAGCACCGCTGACAAGGCTCGATGTCGGACTGTAAGGTCTCCTGTGCGCGCTTGATAGACTGCTATCCCGCGTTCCACTCATCGAAAGGACGAGATGCGCACGCGGAGGTGGTGAGATAGGGTGGTCGTTGACGTAGAAGCCCCCAGTACCATCTTGGGTAATCGTAGGCGGGGCCGAGACGAGCTTGTTGCGTTGCTGCGCGTGATCTGGAGAGACTGGTCGCGCATTGACTTCCTCAACAAGCCCTGTTTCCAGGTCGATGTCGACAATACCATCTTTACTGGTACGTAGTACTGCGGGCGCGAAGTCATGGGACTGGATGGCTTCTTGAAGTAGATCCTCCTTTGCAAAATCAGACCTGTCGCTGATAGCAGGCGATTTGGTTTGGTCTTTTGTAATATTTGAAGCAACCATGGTCATACTCTGCGTCATCTTGCTGCCATTACTGTTGTTCGGGGATCGTCTGACTCCTGTACGTGCGGCTGTTGTCGCGGACTGATGGTGAAGAAGTTGTGCCGTTTTGCGACCTCCAGCCGTACGAGCAGAGTGATAGGTCCATGGGGGAGGGTTCGTGTCATCGAAGTTACCCATGTCGAACAGTTCCCTCAGTATTGTCCATGTGAACGGCAGATTGGCAACAAGGATGGCTGTCGAAGATTCTCGGACGTACCAGTAGATCCACGTGGATTTGTAAGGATTGCTGAAGGAGTAGTAGCTGTTCATGATGCTCGCAGCCACGACAAAGATACCGAGAGAGAAGATGCCACAGAGTATAAGCTTTCTCTTCATGGGTAGCAAGGATCGGATGAGCATCTGCAATGCAATACATAGCATGATCAAATCCGAGGATATGTTGAATACAGCTTTGGTGATGCGGTGGTGTACCAGGGCGTTGCACTGGAAGGACGTGGTCGGCACTGCGTAGTATGCAGAAAAGGGTCGACACCAGGCTGAGAAGTAGAGGACCTCTATCACGACGAATCCAACTGCGGTATACACGGCGAGCAGTTTGATGGCGATGTTCTCTTTCTGAAGCGCCGTCCGTGTTATGCGATGGTACATGACCAAAAGACATGCTTTGCAGGCCCAGATCACAGCGATATGCATCTGCTCTACAACGACCACGAGCTTGCTCCCGAATCGTCGTCTCGATAGTTCTTCCATAGTCAGTGCGCTGAAGTCGAAATTCTCCGGTTCCAGGTTCGATTGGACTTTCAGCCACCGATTCGCGAGCACAATCATAACAGTATAGGCGGCGGTGACGAAGAGGCCCATGGTCCAGTCATCGATCTGTAAGCCTTTGACGGATCGAAAGAGCATTTTTCGCGAAATCCTGCATGACGAATCTGGTCAGTAAATGGATGCATATGCTACAATGAGCAGGTAGTTATTGGTGGATCGCGGGCAGTGGATGCAAACAAGCATGAGAGCAGAGCACCGATGCGCTCAGTAACCCAAAGCCGCCCGCCAGCGCATTGCATCGCATGCTAAGCCTCATTCTCGAATGCGAAACCAGATCATGAATGTAGACTGATGTAATGGGATAATGCACAGAAAATGCACTCACAGTCTTGCCCCAATCATGCATACAGCGCATGTATACCAGATCCATGATTCCTGGTTGAACGGTAATGGCATTGTCGAGTTGCAAGGCGGTCTGCGCCGCTGACGCCAGAGTCGCTATCCGTTAGGCCGCTTGAGGTTTAGAAGACGAGATCGACGAAGGATCATGTTGTAGAGCAACACGATAATCGAGGCGCATCCAGAGCACGCAGGAGAGGTGATGTAAATATCCCGAGGGTAGAACTGGTCAGGGAGGAGGGGTGTAGATACACACCGACCAAAAAACAAGGAGGAGGGAGGAAAAGAAAGCTGACAGTGTCGACATGGAAAGGCAAGGTGAGAAGCTAACCTGTATAGCTTGCAGCTGATGCACACGGCAGTCTTCCATTTGCAGCCATCAGCTCGATCCAGGGCTTATCGCAACCATCTGCCGCGCCTCTTGAGCCTGATGGAGGTCCCGCGTGGGGTCGCCGATGCTTGGGCCTGGCGTCGTGTCGGGCCAATTCCAAGGTCGTGCGTGGCGCGTGTGAAGGATAGCTTCAGGTGCGGCTAGTGGTTGCTTTTGCGGGGTTCCGCGCGGTTGACACACTGAGCACCAGTGCGACCGACGCTCTAGACGTCTCGTGGCGTACCATCCTGGGTGCGCAATCACGGTAGTTGCATCTGTGTATAGTATTGTGGTCGTGATATCATGAGCAGCGCAAGCCAAGAGCCAGCTGGCTGAGGCTGTGCCTGCGAGGCTTGGAGTACACGAGGCTGACGGCCGCAGCTGTTACCAGCAACACAAACTCGCGCCTGATGTAAGATTGGACGACTACTGTGTTCAAAGGCGGTAAATGAGCGTTAATGCGCATTAAGGGCATGGTGATGTTGGGTTCATGTTTGCATTTGCCGCTGGCCCTGGGCGAGTGATGGCACAGGGAAGGAGGAGTGAACTGCACGCGGGAACTCGGGAAGTCGCCACTAGTCCAACGCGCACCGTTCAACTCACGTCTCCTTAGCTCCTAAACGCCACTTCGCCTGTTCTCTTGAAAGAACAAATATTCGGGGTCTCGCATTCTGTACCCTGCTGTCAAATGGGGTTTCGACAACGCTTATCGCAGAGGACACCCCTCGGTCCCCAGATACTTTAATGGATTCGCTCGGAAAGTTCCTTCACGTTAATATCGCGATTCAACCCCAGTCGGACCGCAGCACCACCGAATGCGAGGAACGGTCAAGAGATGATTCACAGATCGCACAGACTTTGTGGTCGAGAGATTGCGACGCGGCGCACGTTGACGATGCTACAGGAACGCATGACGAGCATCACCGACTACTCAAAGCAGCGCACGACGATTTTCTTTCTTCCTTTCCAATGCGCCCACACGGAGGGTATGCTGCCTTAGCATCGAAGCTTTCGTACTCGAACACCCTTCCACCGCCTTCCGTACCTGCCAATCCCTTCTAGAAGACTTTAGTGCATGATCGAGAAACAGTCGATCGCGGTCACCCACAATATACTACTAATCGGTGTACACTTCACCGAACACGCTCTTCTTTACCCATTGTATATCCTTTTCGTCCAAGCTCTTCCCGTCATCATCTCGAGACCTTACCAGAAGCCGGCTGCTTCCTTCCGATACAGTCGTCTTGGACATGTATCGCGTATCGCGCAAACAGTGCTCGCGCGTCACCTTCCGATGAGCACGGTTTGGATTGCGGTACCATACTTCCCGCTGATGGAGTGTGTCACTGACGCGGACATGTGTCTTCTCGGGACGCCCATGCTGAAAGATCGCCTGTTAATTGCGATTGGTTTTAGTAGGGAGACATACGCAGGACGCGGCAGTGATCGATCATTGCTGGTATCATGGTGAGCATACTAGACCACGGGGTCTCCGTCAATGTACCCTTCATCCTCATGACTATTGTCCCCACTTTATTCTTCATTTTCGATCTAGAGTCCTGACCGATCATGTCTGGCTTATTTGTCACTACTTTTGTCACTAATCTGGCCCTGTAGACAGTGCAAGTGGCATAGCGGTAAGAATCGCACCTGAAGTGGACAAACAACATCATTATCATACGTGTCCACCAACCGTTCGCCTACCAGAAGTCGGCCTTCACGGCATCGGAGACTTCCACTCTCCATGAACTTCCTAACTCATCACATCTCTTTCTCCTCCAGATATCGCGATCGCTCTCTGGGTAACGCGTTTACTCACACATCATCCGAGATATCCTCCAATTGTTCGACAAGGATAGTCTGTCCCTTTCTCGCAGTCATCTTCTGCATACCGCTAGTACATTCTATCACGACGTAACTCCAGGAACCGAATACTAGGAGTGTTCTCGTAGCATCAACGAAATTCTGGAAGATGCTAACTCTGTCTCCGCTAAGTCTCATGTTCACGAGGTCGCCCAGGCGTACTGTGATAACGTCTTCCACCGCAGGAGACACGCCAACGGCGTTATGGCGTCTATGCAAATAGATCGCAACGACTCCATTATCCCTGAGCACCTTGTTATAGGTCCGGCTCCTACGGCAGCTTATGTTTACAAGCCAATGAAATATCTCGTGCTCCTCGCAATACCGATGCGTGGACCGTTTGGTAACGATGAATGGGAACGATTTCCACTTCATGCGGAAAAGAGGCCGAATATCGATACCAGGAGCTTCAACGGCTTTGGGTGTCTTGAGGAGGCGCACGGCTTCCAGAGTAGTAATGATAGAGCTATTGATATATTCGTCAGAGTGCGGAACAACCTCAAGGTACTCGGCAAGCTCTTCGATGTTAATGATAGGGCGGTGGGCTTTCGTGTAAAGCGGCCAGAACTCGGAGCGGAATAGTTGGTTCGTCTGAGCAAGGCCGAGGAATTGGCGACTAGGGTGACGGTCTCTCAGAGCATGTTTCGAGTGTTGAGAGCGGCCGCGGCGCTTGCGGTGCAGCTTGACTCCTCGAGCTTCTTCTGCTGCGACGATTATGCTGTAGATGTGGTTGCGCAGTTCTTAGTCGTAGGTCAGTATACATATATCTCAGAGCAAATACGACGTTGGGCTTACCACCGGGCAGCTCCAGAAGTCGCGACACCACATCCACATCGGAGGCATCGGTCATCTTTGTATCGACATCCATGTTGGGTTATGCCAGTTGAGCTCGCTTCTTAAGTGGTTGATTGAGACAGTGTGTGTAAGAAGCAGACTGGAAGGGGTAATTATAAGGTACCCGGGGCGCACACAGACCAACTGAGAAGACTGATTAGGCAGCGTTTGAAGCTCCGTCTCTTTCACGATGACGTGAATCTACATTCATTGTCACCCATTCCCGAACCGTCTCCAGATGCACTTGGCCACTGCTCGTCATCCGCCTCATGATCTCCAAAGCCTCTTGCACTGGCGTCTTTCCCTACATCTCTCGCCTCTCCAAACACACTTCACCCTCAAAAAATTGTGGGACGCCGCCGGTCCGCTATCAGGCATCGAGAGATCCATCTCTGCAACCAGCGCCCGCTCAACATGCGCATGCACGATGGCAGCGCGCGAGATTTCGATCTCAGAGTCGAGCTCCACCGTAACGAGGATGAACGGTTTGCCACTCCGGTAGCTGGATTTCGAGATGCTGATCTTGGTGATGGCTCCCGGCTCCAACAGATGGTGCCATGAAGGCAGACATGCGAGCATGCGGCACAGAACGCCGGTGATGAGGCCGTTTTTGTGGCTCTTGTATTCTGTGTCGAGGAACCAGCGGCCTGTGACATCGCAGTTATACGGGTCTAGTCGGAATAAGAGTGTTACGTCGAGACCTGGGTTTGGCGAGTCGAACTCCATTGCCGCTGGTCGTCTAAGCCGTCCTTTTTTGATCATGGATAGGAGGCGGACTAAGGCGGGATATGCATCGTTCTTGCCAGCGAGACCTGAACGGTAGAAGTGAGCTAGTTGGGAGAAGTGGAAGTAATGACCGTTGATATACAAGGGCGCGAACTCTTTACGCGTTCTACGGTCAACTTGTGTCAGGCCCATGTGCTTGTGCTTATGATATCGCTCCTGGAATGGCATTGCTGGATCAGGATTGTAGTGTACGCGCATGGCAGACGAACCAACATCTTCTACGATACAATCGTATATGCGGTTTCGCAGCTCCCCTGATAGTTGCGAGAATAGGCATGTATAGCCCGGCAACGGACCGGAGTTTGAAGAGGTGTGCGATGGCGTCTGGGATTCAGCGTTCATTGCGGGGGCCCGTAAGCCGCTTTGCAGGGTAGCTGCAGAGCTTGCATTGGTGTAGGAGATCATATCCATGTTGTGTATAGCGGCGTCGAAACTCTTAGCCTCGCGTTTGATACTCTCAGTCTTCGGCTTGACACTTCTGACCAAGCACTCAATACTTTCAGTCTTGTGCGGAGATTACGAATGTTCACGACCTCGTTGGTAAAGTACTTCCAGTCTTGTGCGTAGTAATTTGAGCCTTGCGTTCGGCACAGCAATTCTTGCGGTAGATACCCTGAGTCTTGACCCTAGTACTTTGAGTCTTTCCTTCACGTTGATTTTTGTGCCCTATTTCTCAATATACCGAGTGAAGTGATACCAAGACGTTGTGATGTAGGACTACAGAAGTGAGAGAAGGAGGAGCCGTCATATATACTTCCTCGCTACTAGCTCACACAATTATTGTGCGCGCGAAGCCACATTGACTCTAGCTCCATCCGGTTTATCGTGGTACTGCGGTGACCCAAATGCCGAGATGTAGCCGGGGAGCCACTCACAACTCGCCCAAAACCAACGCGACGGATGATACTCGAATCCCCTCTTGAATCAGCGGAAAAGCCCACGCAATGGGCAATGTAGGGAACAGATTGGTTGAAATACACAGGATGTTTCTCGGGCCAAAGCTCCGGTGATAGCATGCCACACTAGACCTTGCTGACTACCCAACGTTGATTGGGCACCGCTTACCACTACATCACCAAGCAGCGCCTGTGACAATTCAGATCTTGACAAAGCCAACAAGTCAGAAACTCTCCACTTACTCCGCCTTCGCATCTCCAGCACTGACCAACTCCCCACTCTCATCTCTCTCCCACTCGCACACTCCCAGCCCGGTGCCCTTACAAGGAATGCAAGCAGATCCATCACCCAAACTCCTACATTCATCCACGCCCAATCCCCTACTCCGACACCTCTTACAAACAACCAGCTTCTTCCCTTTCTTAAGCTCATCCCTCCAATTCTCATCATCCATAATGCGGTAGTTGATGCCGTTGAAGCGCCAAAAGTCGTCGCTGGTATACATCAACTCCTCGACAGGCAGCTCCTCGCCTTCCATATACGGCGGAATGAAAGACTTCCCCGACGGAAACATTTCCCGCGAAACAATGAAGTGGGCGTTTGTGCTGTAAGACTTTAGCATGGTAGCGATCTTGTAGGTGGCCGCGCGGTCGAAGAAGAGGGCACTGAGGAGATGAGCTTGTTCTGTCGCGTCGACGATTTCGAAGAGGCGGAAGAAAGAGTGGTCTGAGAACTTGAGGTGCAGTATGAAGTCGTCTGCAAGTGTTCTTGGGAGACAGACGTCTACGAGCGAGGTGAGGGAGCGGAAGGCGATGTCGGATAGCGAGCGGAGGTCGTGGCCTGAGTTGATGGAGATGGCGGAGTCGAGCATCTTTAGCGACTTGAGGGATGGCGGGAAGCCGCTTTGTCGTAGGTAGTAGTAGAGGTGCGATTCAAAACCTAGCTCGAGGTACTCTAGCTCGACGAGAGAGCGAAGCTTCTCGGCACCTTCGGGGTCGGTATCGCGCGAGGTCAGATAGCCAACGTGGCCACCACAATGTGTCAAGCGCTGTAATGAATGTGCTTGTTTCTGCAGCGCGACTAGGAATCGAGATGAGGATGTGCGTTGTTCAGGATCCATGGATGGTTGGCATTCCTGGAAGACGTGCAACCGCTCTCCTATCGACAACTCCTTGAGAGCTTTGGGTAGGCTCAGGACATTGTCTAGGAATGGAACACTGACGTTGCATTCGATAAGCGTCAGAGACTGGAGGCATGTTGTCTTCTTCTCTGATTCGGAGATTTGGAGATCTCCGTCGAAGTTCAAACACGATAATGTGATATCACGCAAAGTTGGATGCTTGAACATAGCGACAGCGCGACCCAATTTGAACTTGTTGTCTCCCGAACCATGCGCGTGGAGCGTTACTGCGTTTCGTTAGTCAGGCTCATTGTCATGAAACATTTGACTTACACGACTGTAGCATCGGTAACGTCATCGGCATGCCTGCGCGTGGATACACTGATGCTGCAAGCAAGTTGTTGTAATCGATCCTTGAGTATCCGTCGAAGTAGATGCCGTTTTGCCATTCCAAGTTGTTCGGGCAAGGGCTCTCGACATGCAGATGACGCAGCCTACCCATCAAACTCAGATAATGGTTGAGATCTTCAATCCCCTCGCGATATTCATCTTTGTAGCGAATAGCCAGATCCTGGATATAGTCTATCCGATTATCTCGGCTGTCCAGTGCCGTGGCAATCTTTTGCGCATGTCCTCCCGTCAAGACCTCTAGTTTGCGCCAAATGTAGGGTTCGACAAGGCCTTGGAACCGCGTGCACGTCGCAGCGAGACTGCAAAGAGCTTCTTGGCCGTCAACGTGATCGATGATGTTGAGGAGGAGTTCATCGACAAGGCGCAATAGTCCGCTCTCGGCTGGGCCCAGCATGGTGATTCCAGGTTCTTGACGTGCTTTTGTAAGGGTGTAACCGGAATGACGCGTCTTGCGTTTTTTGGCTCCCGCAAACGATATACTTGGCATTCAAGGGTGCGGGATGAGTTGAGATTCAATAACACAACGGGCGTTGTTCGTAGACATGTATTTCTTAATGTCCGCGCTGGCAGAAAGCAGAGACAGGGTGCTGCTGTTCAGCCAACGAGACCACGGGATGATGTCAGACGCTAGTACGATCGAGGACTAGAGGGACACGTGAAGATATCCGTGCGCCATCGCGGCATCACATCATTATCGCCAGCTCAACGTGTAAGTTCGGCGCAACGACGTTCACCTGAGCACGGCTATTGCATTTACATCAACATAATTTGGAAATTCCAAACCGAAGATAACGTCATGATGTATCGTGCTTTTAATCTACACTAAGCTCATAAGACCCAAGTCCCCCACCGATAGAAACCTCATCCCCGTCTAGTCCGTTTGGTTGATCACAGCATCCTGCGTAACGTCAGCTTCATCCTAAACATGATTCACAAAGTAAGACTTACCCTAGCAACCGCATACAGCGGCTTGACACCAGTCCAGTACTCAAACTGGTGCACACCCTGTCCAACCAAAACCTCCAGACCATTAACTGTCTTCCACCCGTTGTCCATCGCAAGCTGGATCAACGCTGTCACGGGAGGCTTGTACGCCATCTCCAACAGTATCCTTTCTGGACCAGGCTCCACGTCCTTGACACTCGCCTTGCCCTTCTCGAACAAGGTGCAAAGCGTTTCGCGGATGGCGACGTCGATGGGTTGGTCAGCGGGGATGGTTCCGATAGCGACCTGTGGCGTGCTTTCCATAGATTGGACTTCTTCTGGGGAGCCGATGACGTGTAGGTTGTATTCTGATGAGAAGGCGTTCTTGAGGGTCTCCATCTTCGAGGGGTTGCGGCCGAGGAGGTAGATCGGTCCATAGCCCATTTCCTTGAGTGCGTAGATGGCGGCGCGACTGGTGCCGCCGCCGCCGATGACGAGAGCAGAACCGATGCCTTGGGCGCCGGCGTTGCGGAGGATGAGTATCATGCCTAGATAGTCGGTGTTGCGACCGATTAGACGGACGACCTCTTCACCACTGGCTTCATCGACGGAGCTCTCGGGAACAATGGTGTTGAGGGCACCGATGACGTCGACTTCTGGGCCTAAACCGTCGAGGAGAGGTACGACGTCCTGCTTCAGCGGGATTGTCACACTGGCTCCACCGAAGTCTGGCGAGCGGATGATGTCCTTGATAGAGCTTGCATCCGTAGTCTCACAGCGGCCGTAGACGTGCGGGAGCCCAGTCTCACCGAACAGCTTATTGTGGAGACGCGGGCTAGGGCTTTGTGCCACTGGTGAGCCGAAGATGAATAGCTTCTTCGTCGAAATCTCGCCCATCAACGACAAGCCTCGCCGGATATCTGCTGCAGATAGTTGACCTGGTGCGGTAGCAGAGGGTAGAAGGGGGTGCGAGACGGGTGTCATGAAGCCATTCAGTATCCTGCTCAGCTTGCCATGCTCGCCCATATTAATGGCGATCAGGGGGACAGGATGCGCAGTATTCGCCCAGCTTTTGAACTCTGCAAGCGCATAGTTGTCCTCGAGCGACTTGGCGACACCCACAAGTTTAATGACAGTACCATACTGCAACGCGCGGTTGTAGTACTGCATCCACGAGCCGTTCCTCCAGTTGAGCTCACCCTTGGGATCGTGATGGCTAGCGATGATCTCGGAGTATCCGCGAGTGTCGGAGACCTCGCGCAGGATGTCTTCTGGCATGGTCATCTCCAGATCTACAAAGTCACAACCAAGTCGTAATGCTGTCCGGTAAAGCACGAGGGCCTCGTCGTATGCCTGGTCTGGGAATTTTCCGCCTTGTGCTTTTGTTCGCAAGGTGAATATGATAGGTATCGATGTTACGGTCCGCAGTATTGTCAGTTGCTCGATCACGAACTCTGGTGTTGGCAGACCTTCTTGGCCATTGGGGTCTTCCAACAAGTCGACTCTGAGCTCAACAGCATCCGATCCGACTACTATCTCTGGTAAAGTCTTGATGCAAGGCTCAAGTCGGGGCGCAGATAAGCAAACGAAGAAAGAGTGCTTCCTCTTCTTGAGACTCTTCAAAGTTGTGGCCTTGCCAGTGATGGTGTTCAAGAAACGGGCAATCTCTCCTTGCGTCTGAGCGAGCCCACCCGATCCTGGAACCTGACTGTGGAAGCGGTAGTTACTGCACTCTGTGTACCAGTCTTTCCTCCGCAGCCATACGCCCATGATGTCGTCTACGTACGCTGGCCGCGTCTTGTCGATCTGCAAAAAGGCGACTACCTTGTTGATATCACGTGTGACAAGTAGAACTATACCGCCACTCTTCTGATAGTCGACAAGAATCTTGCGAGCTTCAGGTGTCTCGACGATTCCACCACCACAGGCGAAGACATGCCCATTAGGCTTCTCCTTGACAGTCTGAGCGAGAAGCTTCAGCTCCTCTCTCCGGAAGCCATCCCACCCCTGCGTTTTGATAAGTTCAGGTATTGTCATACCGACATGCTCCTCAAGTGCAGTATCCAGGTCAACGAAAGGACGTCCGAGCGCACGCGCTGCCCACCCACCAGCAGTCGTCTTGCCGGCGCCGCGCATTCCGATGATGAAGATTGACTTCTGTTCAGTCTTCGACGCTGCCTTGTGTGCATTCGGCCGTGGCGGTAGCTCTACACCTGAAAGCTCGGTCTTGAAGATTTGGCTCAGGGAGTCCCAGTATCCAGGCCATGTCTTTCCAGTACATTCCTTTTCAAGAATGAGGACTGGCGCTGGAGCTACTAATGACAGCACAGCGAAACTCATGGCGACGCGATGATCATCGTAGCAGTGGATGCCGGCCTTTGGAGCTTCGAGCTCGTAAGCTTTTCCGTCGACTTCAATGCCATCGTCAAATTGTCTGCAGGTGACGCCAAACTTGGCGAGCTCATCTTCCATGGCTTGGATGCGGTTGCATTCCTTGACACGCTGGTTTGCGATACCATAGATACGGGTGGTGGTTGTGCTACCATTCGATGATGCTACTGCGGCCAATACGGATGCTGTGAGGAAAGCATCGGTCATGGGCTCCATGTCAATCTCGTTGACAGCTTTCAATTCGCCGCGAGGGGGACCTGTAACCGTTGTAGAGGTCTCGGACTGTTCAACCTTGCAACCCATAGGTTTCAGAACCTCAACAGCGAATCGCGCATCACCTTGCAGGGAGCCTGAGCCGATGTTGGGCACTGTGCACGTCGTACCTGTTATAGCCGCAATCGCGAGAGGGTAGGTAGCAGAGCTAGCATCGCTTTCCACCTCATATTCGGAGGGGTTCGTGTAGGGCTTGTTGGGAATGTGGTAGGTGTTAGGATCGTCTTGTGATCTCTCAACCTGCACGCCAAAGGAAGCCATCATGGCGATGGTCATATCGATGTATGGCTGGGAGATGACTTTGCCACCAACCAGGCGCAGCGTTACAGGCTTCTTGGAGTATGGCGCGCTCAAGAGGATGGAAGATACGTATTGCGACGACACGTTGGCAGTAAGCTCAATCTCGCCCGTGAAGGAATCCGGACCAAAGCCACCGCATGCAGAGATTCGCAGCGGTAAGCTGCCTTCATTCTCTTGGTAGTCAATCTCGACGCCCATGGTGCGGAGTGATTTGACCAGTGGGCCAATGGGTCGTTCCTTCATACGCGCATTGCCGGTGACTACTGTGGATGTCACGCCCTCGGTGGGCTGGCACAAGGCGGTCACAGAAGTCAAGAAACGCGCTGCAGTGCCAGCGTTTCCGAGGTAGAGTTCGTTGTTCGACGCTTTGAGGTTTCCGCCATTGCCGGTGACGACTAGCTCCTTGCCGTCATTCTCCCACGCGAAACTAGCGCCCTGCATCTTTGCCAGCGCGTCTAGCATGACTTGTGTGTCGTCAGAGTGCAGCAGGTTGGTGATGCGACACGAGCCAGTTCCAAGCGCAGCAAGTACGAGGACTCGATTGGAGATACTCTTGGATCCAGGAGGTCTGCATGTCACGTTCAAGTCGGAGGGGATACCGGGATGAACAGATATGCTCGGCGACAGGGCGATTCTGATATCGCGATCCTCGACGGAGCTGGCCTTCTTTTCGTGCGTCCTGCCAATGCCGGACAAAAGCACGATCTTCTTAGTCTTGCCAGCGTTCTTCTTGTCCACAGCCATAATCTTGATAAGCTCGTCTACGGGGCAATGCTTGTTGGCCGACCTCTTCCGCACCGTCTTGTCCGCTAGCGATGTAGGCAGTCCGTAGCTCGCGATGCACTTTGTCAAGCGCGCGACTGCGGAGGGATCCAGTACACCCAGGTATCTGGCCAGCTCGGCCTCCTTGACCATTCCTATCGCGACGCACTCTCCGTGGAGGATCTGGGGTGTGAGGATGGCTTCGTAAGCGTGTCCGATCGAGTGTCCGAAGTTGAGCAGATTGCGCAGGCCGCCTTCGCGCTCGTCTGCCGAGACGACTTCGGCCTTGACGCGTACTGAGCCCAGCACTATGCGCTTCAGTATGCTGGCGATCTTGTCGAAGTTCTTACGGCCGTTGACGGGCTTTTGGTCAATCGCAGCCAGGATGGCGTCTGCATTGCCCTCGAGTGTTGTGAATTCCTCCTCGTTCCAGATTGCCGCCGTCTTGACCACCTCTGCCATGCCGTTAACGACCTCCCTCTTGGGCAGTGACTCGAGGAACTGCAAATCAATGTATATCCTCTCGGGCTGCCAGAAGGCGCCGACCAAGTTCTTGCCCGCGGGCACGTCAATGGCCGTCTTGCCGCCTATGCTCGAGTCGACCATGGCCAGCAATGTGGTAGGCACATTGACGAACTTGATGCCGCGCATGTACGTCGCTGCGACATAGCCTATCATGTCCCCAATGACGCCTCCACCCAGTGCTATTATGACGGTGTCGCGCACGCATCCTTGCGACAACAG